GATATCTGATCATATTCTTCATTCTCTATCCTTGATATCTGATCACCTTGGCCTGCCTTCAGCAAGAATTCCTTTTGAGTCAGTTTAGCAAGAATCCCCCTGCCCTAGCTGTCTCCTCTTGGTAACTTTTTTTCATCCACTGACCCCCTCAGTCCACTTGTTGGTTACAAATCCCAGCTATCTTTGCTGGATTTGGAGTTGAGCCCAATCTTTCTCACCTACTGATAGCCTTGACACCTATTGCAAGGGTACTGACTAAAGTCTTCCTTACTATGTTAACAAAGTGTCAGAATATTTTTTTCTTTAACATCCTTGAGCGAGATGCACTCAGCAAAGCCATCCCCAGATTTTTGACCAATAGAAACTATGAGATAATAAATGTTTGCTGTCTCAATCCTTAAATGTTAGGGGTCATTTGCTGCACAGAGTTAGAAACTAATGCCTGATGTGGCCTGGATGCTGTGATGCATGGCTCAAATTCTCCTTCCAGGACTGGGCTCTCCTGCTTCTATTGCACAGAGTGTTGGCTGCTAGCAGTTTGCAGCTAAGTCCTTCTCCAGCTGTTGCTTTTGGTAAAGAGAGCTACCTTGCCCAAGGATATACCCCCTTCCCAGGCAGTCTGCCGCCCAAGGATTTGTCCATGCAGGAGTATAAAGGCCTGGCCCCTTGGCCTCCAATATGGGATAACCCTGAAGGATCCACTGAGATCTCTGTGACAACTGTGTCACAGTTGAACTTCTCCCTCCTCCAGCCCCCAAGTCCTGTTTCTCCCACCTTTGTACAGGTGTTATTACCAGGATCAGTCTCCAACATACCTCCTAAATCTCTGCCTCAGAGCCTGTTTTCCAGGGAACCTGACCTAAGACACTATGTGACCTTGAGCAAACCCTTTACCTTTCAAATTCTTGGCTTCTCCATCTGCAAAATGGGAGAAATACCATGATTAAATGAGTTTAAGTACTTGGCATGGTGCCCGCCATATATATATAGTAAACACATATAGAGAGTTGCTGTTGTTATTGTTACTATCTACGAAAAGAACATCCCAAGTTCCCTGCTCCCCTCACTGCAAAAAACCAGCTAGTGCAAAGGCCTTGAGATGGCTGCAAACTTGGCAGGCTAGAGAGAGAGAGAGAGAGAGAGAGAGAGAGAGAGAGAGTGCGGAGGGCCCCGAGGCTAAAGGAGGAGCGTGGTAGGGGCTGAGGTCAGAGAAGCAGGCAGGGCCCTGCTGGGCCCATGTGGGCCTTGTAGAGAGTTACAATTTAAATCTAAGTGAGGTGGGAAGCCATGGCAGAGTGAGAGCAAAGAAATTACACCAGTTGATATGTGGTTCTAAAAGCTCAGTCTGGCTGTGGGGAGAAGCAGGAAAACAACAGCAGCGAGGGAAGCAGGGAAGACGAGTAATGATGTTCGTGAAGGGCAGGGAAGGCGCCGGGACGGGTTTTGATGGGAAAGTCACTGCCCCACTAGATGGAAGGGGGAAGGAGAGAGAAATTAAGGATGTGTCTTAGGTTTTGGCTTGAGAAAAATGGGCGGTTGGTAATATCTATTCAGATGAGGAAAAGCAAGAGAAGAGCAGGTCTGGGTAAAGGGAGGGACAATTGGGAGTTCTGTTTGTAACATGTTAAGTTTGAAATGCCTATTAGCTATCCAAGTGAGATGTCAAAGCAGTCATTGGATGTGTGTGTGTGTGTGTGTGTGTGTGTGTGTGTGTGTGTGTGTTTTAATTTTCTTTAAGTTTATTTATCTATTTTGAGAGGGAGAGAGGGAAAGAGAATGAGCAACGAAGGGGCAGAAGGAGAGGGAAAGACAGAATCCCAAGTGGGCTCTGAACTGTCAGCCCTGATGTGGGACTTAATTGCACAAACTCAACCGTGAGATCATGACCTGAGCCGAAATCAAGAGTCGGACCCTTAACAGACTGAGCTACCCAGGCTCCCCTGGATGTATCTCTGTGTCCTCTTTTGACTAAGCCATACTGCATGTAAGAAGGCTAGGAAGTTATAAATTAATATGTCCCGGGACAGACAGCTGATTCCTTTGGGAGACAAGATTCGGGTTATTTGCCCTATTCACTAACTAACTAACTAACTAACACATTATCCATATTTTCTTCTTCTCATAGCCATTAATAGAGAAAACGCCATATGGCATTGCAACTAGATAGAGGTTAAGACCTGGCCCATAGATGCCCCACAAGTCATGACTTTAATATGCAGCATTTCATGGACTGGTAATAACCTGGCCAGGGCTAAGACAGAAATTGCCAGAAAGAGGCTCACTTTGCCTCCCAGCATGCAGTTAGGTATAGACGGAGGTGAAGCATCTTGCTCAGTAGATGACACCCTGGAGGCACACAGTATGTGTCAACTTCCTACTCCAGAGCCTAACTGGGACAACCACCGTCTTCTTGGTATAGCCCCTGCCATGCTGTAATGACTCAGATATGAAATTTAACTTCCTCGAACCATAACCACTTATGGTAGAGGAAGGGCCTTCTCACCTAGGCTTCACCTTTTGGCAATAATTCTTTTTTTTTTTTTTTTAATGTTTTTACTTATTTTTGAAGGAGAGAGAGAGCATGAGCCAGGGAGGAGCAGAGAGAGAGAGGAAGACATAGAATTTGAAGCAGGCTCCAGGCTCTGAGCTGCCAGCACAGAGCCCGACGCGGGGCTCGAACTCATGAACTGTGAGATCATGACCTGAGCCGAAGTCAGACGCTCAACTGACTGAGCCACCCAGGCGCCCCAATAATTCTTTTTTAAAAAATGCTTTATAGTGATCAAAATGATTTCACATAAATTAGCTCATTTGATCCATAGTCTCATAAAATAGGGGATTATCATCATTTTACAGATGAGGAGAGAAGGAACCATTTTCCTAAGGGTCTCTAAAAATTTTTAATTATTAAACACAAATATCAATGGCTTCTGTATATTCTGTTTTGTCAGTGCTCCATTATTTAGTTACCCATTTTCTTATTGGCTATTTCTCAAATTAGGTTGGCCCCAATTTTGCACAGCTGAAAATACCACTGGCTGGAACATCTCATCGTGCATATATCTTTGTCTAAATCTTTGTGTCCTTAGGACCTATTACTACAAGGGGAATAACTGAACTAAAACCTTAAACCTTCCCTGTCCTGGATGTAGCTGAAGCAATATAGGGTGTTTAAAGGCCAATTTTTCCCCCCAAGGAGATAGAGCTTGTGGTAGGCCAGTCTTAGACGTTGGCCCAACCAGTTACTAAAACTAGAAAGCAGTCATGTGTTGGGTTTTGTGGGATCTGCTGATTTTATCCAAGAACTGCATGGGTCCCTTTCCTGCAAATTCCTTCATTTTTCCTGTCACCTTGGCCCAGCCCAGCTTGGATGAAATGCTAATTTACCAAGTGTGTTACTGGATATGAAAAGAAACAGGGACAAAGGACAGGAAGATCAGCAGGAAGAAGTAGCAACAGAGTGGCTTTAGATTCATTCATTATTTTACAGCAAAGACTTCTAAAGCACCTACTAGTTGGGACCCTGGTGGAAATTTCGCCAAAGCTGCATCACAGGGACTTTCTGGGAATGGAGCTGGAGCAGCAAAGGTGGCACTCTGGAGAGAGAAAGACGGAGAAAATGCCTTTAAGGACTTTACCACACAGTAACAGGTAATTATGACACATCACCTCTAAGATGTTTAATGGGCATCTCAAATGTGACATGTCCAAAACTGAAATCTTGATCTTCCTCCTAAACCTGTTTTTCTTTCTCCCAGACTTCCCTATTTTAATAAGCAATACAACCACTCACCTAGTTTCTCAAACCAAAAATCTAGGACCCATCCTTTATTCCTCTGTATCCTGCTGATAGGATTCCAGCCTTTCACTAAATCCTGTCCAATCTACCCACACAATGTAGAAATATCATAACTACTCTGGTGCAAGCACCATCATTTTCATCTATATAATCTCCTACCCATTTTCATCTATATAATCTCCTAATCTGTTTACCCTCATCCACTCTCAACTCTCTAATCCCTTCTCCAAAAAAGCAGCCAGACTGGTCTTTTAAACATCAGACCATACACCTCCGTGGTTGACATCCTCTGATGTTTTCCTTTTCACTTAGAATAAAATTCAAAAAATTTTCACGCCCTTCATGGCTCTGCATGTATCTGGCCCTCATCTCCTCCTATCCTCACCCTAATCCCCTCACCTGCCACACTGACCTCAGGGGCTCTGTAGCTGGCCGGTCCCTCCACTTGAATTGTCTCCATGGCGCTTCTTCAGAACTCATTTAAAATCACACCCTCAGGCTTGTTTTCCCTGGGCATCCAACCTAATATAGCCATGCGTCCCATCATCACTGCCACTTCCTAATCAGTTACACTTCTTTTTGTTTCTTCTCAGCACTTACTTCTCTAATGTCGTATTGGTGTGCTCATTGTTTACCTCTCCCACTAGGTACTAAGTTACGTACCATTCGAGCAGGAACTTGATTTGTTCCCCATTCTATAGCACTGCCTGAAAGTGCAGGAAGCATTTAGTGTTTATTGAATGATGATGAATGTGTGTTGATCACAAATCTGTTTTATTGACTTATTCATTTGTTCCCCGTATTTCCCCCAAGTGAATGTAAACTCCGTGAAAACTGGGATCGTGTCCATTTTGTTCACTATTATATCTCCTAACGTTTGGAACAGAGCTATAGCAGTGACAAGTGCAAAGCTATGTTAAAGAAGGGCAGGGGCAACTAAACTGACCGAGGGAGCTACGGGAGTACTCACAGATAAAACTGCACCTAAACCGGGACTGAAAGAGGTGAGAACCAAAAAGACTGGAGAGAGAGAAGAGTCGCGGCAGAGGCAATCTCGCGAGATGTTGGGCAGCCAAGATGGCTTCCAGCACTTGCCGCCACACTTAATATGGCGATCGGGGAAGGTTCCTGGGGGAAATCACGCGAGAGTTGTAGCACGCCTACAGTCCGTGAATTGAGCCGGGGGTGTGGAGCAGCCAAGATGGAGCCGGCAGCCGGCGGCCCTGGCCCGCTGATCATGAACAACAAACAGCCCCAGCCGCCACCACCTCCGCCACCGGCAACCGCGCAGCCTCCACCCGGAGCCCCGCGGGCCGGCGGAGGCCTCCTGCCCGGGGGCAAAGCCCGGGAGTTCAACCGCAACCAGCGCAAAGACTCGGAGGTCAGGAGCTTCGGGGGGCGAGGACGGCACCGGGCGGGCGGTTGCGAGGGGCCCGGGGCTGCTTTCGGGTTCCAGCTGGGCTTCCCAGAGGGTTGGACATGGCCCGGCGGAGGAGTTGTCATTTTACAGAGAAAGGAGCAGGAAGCAAGGCTGGCACCCCCGGAGCCGGGGGCGTGAAGCCGGGGTCCCATCCCCGAGCTCCGCCGCTCGGGAGAACCTCCCGAAGCCGGCGAGTGCTCCTTTGTTCCTCTGGGGCGGGGGCTGAGGGTGCGGCCTCGGGGCCCCAGCCCCTGGGGAAGCCGCTCCCGGTCCCAGTTCCGAGATGAGGAGTCAGTGGTCTGCGTGCGCTCCAGGGGGCGGGCGGCTGCATCCCGACCCCTAATCATCTCTGTCCGCTGGACCTGTGGGCTTTGCAGCGCGCGGTGGGCGGCGTGTGTGGGCTGGGAAGGGAGCTCAAAACCGGACGGAGCCAATTATCACTAATGGTACTACGCGCCCGGCGTTTTCGAGTGTAGGAGGGGGTAACATTGCCTATTCACTCTGACCTTAGCTAGTACAGGTCCTGGCCCTAGTTTGACAGTGCCTGATGCGTCCGATGCTGAACTGTTAACAATCATAAATATACATTGTAAACATGCATTAGGGCTCAGCATTCCCTCTCTTGCTAGTGGGCTGTTCCTCTGGTTCCGGAGACGCCGTAGTCTGGAGCTGACTAGTCACCTCACCCGGAGTTAAAGAATTCCTCCCACTGCCTCCCATTGTAGATTTCATGAATGAAGACACACGCGTCACAGCACTTTAGGGCTTCTTAATCAGCACGTTCCCAGAGTTTTTACCGTGAGGTCTCCACCTGAGATAACTCAGGGGCTGGTCAGCAGTGAGGCGCTTATTAATGATGGGGAATTCCTCCTTGTCCAAGCGCAGTGTCCCAGGTCCTACCATAGGCGGAGGATACCATCTTTAGATAGGTGAAATCAGTTCCTCTCAAGCTTTTGTATTTTGTTGGTGAGTGCAAACCTCTGGTAAAACGTGTCAGAATTTGCCAAGTCCAAAATAGAGGTACTTTAAGTTTGAAGCGAATTATTTGAAAAAGCAATGAATCTGACTTTTTAGAAGCCTTTGCATTGTGGGGTGATAGAGGATTATGAAAGTGGTGGGGGTGAACCTGCCTTCATCAGAAGAGGAGTTTTAGTTTAATGTTTGTTTATTTTTGAGAGACACAGCACGAATGGGGAAGGATCAGAGAGAGAGGGAGACACAGAATCGGAAGCAGGCTCCAGGCTCTGAGCTGTCAGCACAGAGCCTGAAGCCGGGCTCGAACTCATGAACCGCGAGATCATGACCTGAGCCCAACTCGACGCTTAACCGACAGAGCCACCCAGGCGTCCCAAGAAGAGGAGTTTTAGTTTAAAACTAGCCGTGGAGGTGCCTGGGTGACTGTTGGTTGAGCAATGACTCTTGGTTTTGCCTCAGGTCATGATCCCAGGGTTGTGGGATTGAGCCCCATGTCCGGCTCCATGGTGAGTGTGGAGCTTGCTTAAGATTCTCTTTCTTTCTCTCTCTCTGCCCCTCTCCCTTGCTCGCTCTCAAAAATAAAAATAAGTAAATAAAACTAGTGATAAATTTTCCTAAGTAGCCACAAATGATCAGATAAATACCCTTCGATGCATTTAAATGTCTCTTTCTACCCTTTAATTTCCGTAGAGACTAAACACATGAAAGGCCAGTCAGTGAACACGTTCAGGCTGAGAGGCCTGTTTCAGTTCGTTTTCTTAGAGATCCTGGTGCTGTACTCAGCTCTTTGGGGCACAGCTGGAATCCGTGGGCTGGGAGCCTGAGCAATGCCTGGAGGACAGGGAGGTCGACATCTGATGAGCGCCCACTGTGTGCTACATAATTTTGATTCGGCCTTAAAAACTTTGAAGATTGGGGCGCCTGGGTGGCTCAGTCAGTTAAGCGTCCGACTTCGGCTCAGGTCATGATCTCGTGGTTCGTGGGTTCGAGCCCCGCGTCAGGCTCTGTGCTAACAGCTCAGAGCCTGGAGCCTGCTTTGGACTCTGTGTCTCCCTCTCTCTCTGCCCCTCCCTGACTCATGCTCTGTCTGTCTCCTTCAAAAATAAACATTAAAAAAAAAAAAACAGAAAACACCTTGAAGATAGATTTTTGTCATTCCCATTACATAAATGAAGAAACTGAAGCTCAGTAACTTGTGAAAGTGTACCTTCTGTTGCCTCTGATGGAGTAGAGTTCTTCATTTTTTTTTTTTTTCCAGTTTCTGTGGGTTTGTTATGTCACTTTGTGGGTGGTCTTTGTCTTCCCAAGTAGCTTGTAATTAAGCCTGAGGGCTCTACCTGTTCATCACCTCTTCTGTCTTTTGAGCACCAGGCTTCCCAGATGGTGTTTCTCCTCCTCGGTGATCACCTATCCCTGTCAGTGAAAAGATTGTCTTTGTCAGATTCTCTCCTGTGTGTGGGAGGGAGACCATTCTGTTAGGCTGCTACCTTCTCTGTCAGTTCTCACTGAAATTTGAGAGAAGGGCAGGAAAGCTGAGAGTGTCAATACGCATTTTGTCCTGAGCTGTTGATGGCCTACTAGCCAGAAAGAAGTGAGGCTTCCGGAATCTTAGCACCATGTGGAATGGTACATTCACTGCACAGAACACATAGAAGCTTTGTGTTCATTCATCTAATGAGAATTTATTTGACTATAAACTCGTCATTCATGCCCTCATTCAGGCCGGGTAGTGTGCTGGGCATTGTGGAGTCATTGGTGAGCAGACTGGTGGACAGAGTTCTCGCTCTCAGGGAACTTGCACTCTCGTGGAGGGGCAGACACAAAACAAATACACATGCTGGTATATAATGGTCAGTTGTAAGCACTCTAAGGAAAAGTGGAAGGTGCTGTGCAAGGTCTTAATCGGGAGGCCTGAGCTAGCCCAGGAGGCGAAATGTGATAAAACCTCAAAGGAGTGGAGGCGGTGGTGTCTTGTAACCCAGCAGTGTCTCTGGACGCATATGTGTTTCTTCCTTTGGAAAATACTCACAATGGTCTTTTGCGTTACTCTCTCTCCTTTTCTGAAAAGGGCTACTCCGAGTCTCCAGATCTCGAGTTTGAATATGCTGACACGGACAAGTGGGCTGCAGAGCTCTCAGGTAAAGCATAGACCTTCATGTTATTTGGGGGTGTTTTTTCCCATATTGGTCTTTAATACAATTAAGAGTGAATGTCATTTTGGAGTTCATTCTCCCCCCTGGCTAGCCTAGTAATGAGATAGATAGATAGATAGATAGATAGATAAAACATGCTAATTATGGGATTCAAGCCTTGTATAGCTCATAACTTTGGCTTTCCCCTTACTTTGGCAAAGCACCTCTGTGCGGTCAGGTCGGTTGACCGTGGCCCAATCACAGATGGTCATGCTCCTCGGCCATCCGCTGCCTGCCTGGCGGTGGTGTCTCCTAGGGCGGCAGGTCATGGGGCGTGCCGACAAGCGTGCCTGCATCTGTGCACATCTGTCGCTGCCGCTCATGTGTAACGTGAGCTAGCCTGAGCTGCTCCATAGTAGCCACTGGAGAGACACGTGTCCATGGTGGCAGTCAGCCTGTGGCGTGGCAGGATCGATGTGCACTGGACTGGAAATGCTTGGATTTGTCCGTAACTGGCACTCTGATTATCTGCTACAGGGGAAGTCAGCACTCTCTCTGTCGGGCCCGTCAGAGCACTAAGACCCCCTTAGTAACTGGACAGGCCCGGAGTCACTGTGACCGAGGGACAGAATGGGGCTTAGAAGCAAATGCCTTACGTTCTCTGCTACATATGAGGCCCCTACAGAACGTGGACATGGAGCTGATGGGGCTTTGTTCTTGACAGAGCTTTACAGCTACACAGAAGGGCCGGAATTCCTGATGAATCGAAAATGCTTTGAGGAAGACTTCCGGATCCATGGTGAGAGGATTCCCCTCACTTCTTGGTTCCTTTGACCCAGCACCATGAGGGCCGCAGGGTTTCTCTTAGTCATCTGAGTGACTGGAGTCACCCTGGACTGACCTAAGAAACCTGCTGAACCACAGTTGTTCAAAGCCCCATGTGACCTTCAGGGTGGGCCTGCTGGTGCTCTGGTGGTGGCTTTTCAGAGTGTGAGTATTAGGGGGAAATAACTTTTTGTGTGATTGAAATTGCACCAAAAACAGCAGTGTTTCAGTCTGAAAACTCAGATGCATAGAGCAGCAGTGTGTGTGGCCTTACGCTGCTGTAAGAGAGTAACTTATCTTTCTGAGTTTTCTGATCTTGTGGCAGGCCTGAATTCGGGAAGTTAACATTGTACCCATTCCATTGCGAGGATTTTTCTGGGCTCCCGTGTAAGTGGTCTCTTGCCCTGCAGTAACAGACAAGAAATGGACCGAGCTGGACACCGACCAGCACCGTACGCATGCCATGAGGCTCCTGGATGGCTTGGAAGTCACTGCCAGGGAGAAAAGACTCAAGGTGGCTCGAGCAATCCTCTACGTTGCCCAAGGTACCGAGTGGGCCCCCAGGCACCCCGGCACCGCCTTGTCAGATACAGGGAAGGAGTCATCTGTGCCCCGTGTTCGCAGGCACCTTTGGGGAGTGTAGCTCAGAGGCAGAGGTGCAGTCCTGGATGCGCTACAACATCTTTCTGCTCCTGGAGGTGGGCACGTTCAATGCTTTGGTGGAGCTTCTGAATATGGAGATAGAGTGAGTTCTTCTGGGGAGCTTGAGTAGGGAAGGGGAGGCAGGGGATGAGGGGACAGAGCTTGCAGAACCAACTGCTTTTGAGAAGGGCGAATGGGCCACATGGGGCTGGGCAGGGGGGGCGGTCCCAGCTCCGTTCTGGTCACGTTGAACTGTGGCCTCTTGGGCAGTCGTAACACACGATAAAATGTTTTGTTCCCCAGCACTTGTCAGGGGAACTTTTCATCTTCCTTCCTGGAGGAGGGCCTGACTCCCCAATCTCTCCTGCAGCAACAGTGCCGCCTGCAGCAGTGCGGTGAGGAAGCCGGCCATCTCCCTGGCTGACAGCACAGACCTGAGGTGAGCAGGCAGCGAGCCTGGGCTCCCCGAGGATGAGATCGGAGCAGGGGCAGGAGGGCATCCTCAGGTGTCCTCGCCACGTGTGCACTCCTTCTGCACATGCTGACTCAGTGTGGGCCGTGGCGGCCCTGCTGAGGGCCCTCCCTAGGGGGGGCTCGGAGGAGACTCCTAAAGGAAACGTCGGGTGAAGCTGCTTACTAGAGCCGTGGCGAGGGGCGGCCTCCCGCCCGCGCTGCTGCCGAGACCTTGGCGGTGTGGTATTTTGTGTTTGGTGAAACACATGACGTGGTTCCTTGGGCTCCGCCTTCCGTGGGTAGCTCGACCCCCACCTCCTTTGTGGCGTTTTGTGGCCGCACGGGAAGTAATAGTGGCTGCTAAACAGTAAGATCACCTTCCCATTTCCGTGAGGCTTAGAATCTGTCTCTGTTTGGGAGTTTTCAGACTGGCTGTTTGTGGTGTTCCCCACGGTGGTTGGGGCACTGCCCGCTCGCTCCCGATTCCCGCGCCAGTGTGGTAATCCTTGCTTCTTGTTGCCTTGACCCTGCGTTGCTTCTTCTGATCCGGCAGCTACTTCCACAGCTCGTGCCCAACTCTGTGTTTTTCCTGCTCCAGGAAGCTTAGGGCAGTAAATGCTTATGGCCGTTCTTGTTCATATTAATGCTTTCAGCAACCATTTATTTATTAAGCACCTGCTTTGAGTGAGCACTTAGCTCAGTGCCAGAATACAAAGCAGGGTAAGATCTGGTTGTAACCTTAGCACTTGGGTGAGAAGGGCACACCAAGAGGGGCCCTGTGAGACTCTCAGTTCTCCCCGTGTCATAGCCGTCCGCCACCAACTAGCCTTTGTGCACGAGCTTTCCTCATGTCAGCTGGAATGTGAGGAAGCCAGGACGCCCCTTGATTCCCCATTCTTCACCATTATGACTGGCTTTTGTTCCCAGGGTACTGCTCAACATCATGTACCTGATTGTGGAGACCGTTCACCAGGAGTGTGAGGGCGATAAGGCCGAGTGGAGGACCATGCGACAGACCTTCAGGGCTGAGCTGGGTAGGGCCCTGGAGATCCTGGCGTCTTGAGGCTCTGCCCGGGAGCTGAGGCTGCTGGCCTGTGGGCGGGTCCTGTTCCTGCTGGTGGCCCTGATCACTTTGTGTTGCCTCTAGGTTCCCCCCTGTACAACAACGAACCATTTGCCATCATGCTGTTTGGGATGGTGACCAAATTTTGCAGCGGTCATGCCCCTCACTTCCCCATGAAGAAAGTTCTCTTACTTCTTTGGAAGACAGTGTTGGTGAGTACCCCCTTGAAGGGGAACTCAGCTGCTAGGGCTTGGGGCGGGAGAGAGACTTCACTGTATATCCTTTTAAATGTTGAATTGTATGAAAATCTGTATATAAATTAACATGTAATTAACTGCTTTGGTTTAAAACAAAATAGCACGCTTGACTCACTGCAGGCAAAGAGGACTTGGCCCTTGAGTCAAAATAGATTGTTGGCTCCCTGACTCCTGGAGTCATAAAACACCTTCCCCCCGCCAGACATGCTGCTTCTGAACCTGGAGTCAGTAAAGTGATTGGAGGCAGAATTAGAGCTGGTGTAACTGGGTCCCCTCAGTCAGAAGTCACTTGAAGGAAGCAAGAACAAGCCCTGGGCTAGCGCCGTCTTCCTCGGGGTGTGGTGTGGAGCCTGTTTCTGGCTAGGGAAAGAATGGCCAGCACCCTCGGCTTGGGGCCATTGTCAGCAGCCGAGCTCGCCGCCTTTCCCACCTGGACGAGAGACCTCATCAGAGAGTGGAGCTGCCGTCAGGACTCCTCCTCCCCCTGGGGCTCACCTCCCTCTTTCCAGAGCAGGCCAACTCTGCAGAGCCAGGCTCGTGAGTTTAGGATCTCTTTAGAGTGGTGTGCACATTATATTTTGGTGAGACATCCTCTTGGTTCCTCACAAAGCCTCGCTGAAGCCAGAGACAAAAGCTGAATACCACTGGGGTTTTGGCTTCTAGGGGGATGTTGGAGTATCTAATGATGTATTCCCAATTTGAATTTGAAAGACTGGTAGGTACAGCTTTGGAAGCATGTGAGTCACAGGCTTTTCTAGAAACCTGAAAGGATAGGCTCCTGAGTTTGCTTTTTTGGCACGAAGAGCATATATCCTACGTGCAGAGCTAAACATGTGTGTGCCGGCTCAGTCAGCCCGCATATCTCCTTCCCTTGGTCTGTTTTCTCCACTCCCACGTTGGTGTCGCTGAATTCTCGTGTGAGTGGGTTTAGTCCCTGGTTCAGAGATTGATGCAGGTCATGGTGTCACGCATGCTTTCAAGCCTGACGCGGGGCTGAGGGACCCATTTGTAGATGTGTGACCCCGGCCCCGCCCCTTGTTCGCGATGCAGTGCACACTGGGCGGCTTCGAGGAGCTGCAGAGCATGAAGGCCGAGAAGCGCACCGTCCTGGGCCTTCCCCCGCTGCCTGAGGACAGCATCAAGGTGATCCGCAACATGAGGGCCGCCTCCCCGCCGGCGTCTGCCTCAGACCTGATTGAGCAGCAGCAGAAGCGGGGCCGTCGGGAGCACAAGGTGAGGGTGACCGGTGTCCCCGGTGACTCCTGAGGGTCTGAAGGGGCACATCGCGTGGCAGCCTGATCCCTGGGTGAGCGGGGTTGTTGGAAGTCCTCTCTGAGCAGCTAATCCAAATGAAGGCCTCCAGGCTGGGGGACGCTGTGTCTCTGAGTGGACACTCACCACATGGCACTCTTGAGGCACTGTGGCAAGAGAGGATTTGTCCTCTGGGCCCAACCTTGACTTCCTCTCTGGTTTTTCCACTGCCCTTGGCTCTGCCTTCCACCTTTGTGTGTTATGGCTTGTCTAGCCTCCTTGCCCTCTTATGGTTCCTTGCTTGGCACTTGTCCGATTCCCCTTCCCTCTGTTTTCAGGCACTGATAAAACAGGACAACTTGGATGCCTTCAACGAGCGGGATCCTTACAAGGCTGATGACTCTCGAGAAGAGGAAGAGGAGAATGACGATGACAACAGCCTGGAGGGGGAGACATTCCCCCTTGAGCGGGATGAAGTGATGCCTCCCCCACTGCAGCACCCTCAGACTGACAGGCTTACCTGCCCAAAGGGGCTTCCGTGGGCTCCCAAGGTCAGGTGAGCCTCAGACACCTGGAACACTCCTGGCTCTTGAAACCAGAGGCCTTCCACCCCTAAGCCTGCCCCAAGCCTGAGTCACCACACGAGGTCCTCTGCAGGGCCAGGCTGACCTTGGCTCTGGGATGAAGCTCTCTTAAAGTTAAAGTACCCTGTGTTGGCCTAGAGGCCTCAGGGTGCCGGCCTTGGACAGAGAGACCCGTGTATGGCTCTTGAATCAGTAATATGAATTAGCTCTTGGTTAGCCATACTAATGAAGGGGGAATAGGGAAAAATGAGAACAAGGACACTTAACTGAGCCCATCTCCACTCACCCTGGGGTTGTATGTGGTTTTTAACAGAGAAATTAAAGATTAAGAAAGAGCTTTAGAATCCTAGGTAAGGTATTTGAGATATGTATGCATAAATCAGGAGGGAAGGTACCTGGATATGAGTGGTTTCTGTTTAAAAAGTCACCAACTTAAGAAATAGGTGAGTATGTGAAAGGGCAGTGCAGAAGTCACTTTTTCTATCTGAAACCCCAGTTTTCAGTGATCTGTGGATGGGATTACACGCAAGTCTTCAGAAAACGTGACATGTGCTGCTTGTCTGAGGCAGGAGAACAGGACTCATATGAAAATATCAGAAGCGTATAGATCCAGTTGTAAAAACTTTACATATTTGAGAAATTCTTTTGACAAACTTGTTATTGGTATCTGAATGATATGTGCTTTAAGTTTGATGTGTCACCTTAATTTTACAGGTTAACTGGTTACATACACATAATACACTTTCAGGTTATTGACCCAACAATGTTATGAAGGACATTAAGACAGTGTAAAGATTTTCTTTTTTCTTTTTTTTACTAAAAAGAAAAACAGTGGGGGCGCCTGGGTGGCTCAGTCGGTTAAGTGTCTGACTTCGGCTCAAGTCATGATCTTTTGGTTCATGGGTTCAAGCCCCGCATTGGACTCTGTGCTGACAGCTCAGAGTCTGGAGCCTGCTTCGGATTCTGTGTCTCCCTCTCTCTCTCTCTCTCTCTCTCTGCCCTTCCCCTGCTCATGTTCTGTCTCTCTCTCTGAAAAATGAAAACTTTAAAAAAAAAAAAAAGGGGTGGGAGACCTTTTCTTCTGGCTTTGCAGTTTCTGAAGCTTCTATGTTTTATTAACCATGACACCTTGAAATAACTTTTAACAAAAACTTTGTTCTCTTTGGCAGAGAGAAAGACATTGAGATGTTCCTCGAGTCCAGCCGTAGCAAGTTTATTGGTTACACTCTAGGCAGGTGAGTGTGATCTGAGTTCCTTTTGAAGGAAGGTAGCGGGAGTGCACTCTCCTGGCCTCTGGTGTTTGTGGATCAAGGCGAGTTGATGTCCGGGCTCAACACAGGGCTTTCTTTATTCTGCAGTGACACGAACACAGTGGTGGGGCTGCCCAGGCCAATCCACGAAAGCATCAAGACTCTGAAACAGGTAGGTGGCCTTGGGTGAGCTTTTGGCCTCCTTTGGTCCCAAGTGAGTAAAGTGAGAGCAGCCTGTTGGGATAAACCTTTTGAGATGGTTGTCTGCCTGAAGGAGCCTGGGGCGGGGGAATGGGTGGACCACAGCCATACCTTTAACACAGCTCTTTGTAAGTTTTACTTATTTTAGCTGAGTTCTTGTTGGGGACTTAACTGGGCCGTTATTAAAGATATACTTGAGGGGCGCCTGGGTGGCTCAGTCGGTTAAGCGTCCAACTTCGACCCAGGTCATGATCTCGCAGTTTGTGAGTTCAACCCCGCATCAAGCTCTGTGCTGACAGCTCAGTCTGGAGCCTGCTTCGGATTCTGTGTCTCCGCCTCTCTCTGCCCCTCCCATGCTCATGCTCTGTCTCTCTCTGTCTCTCAATAATAAATAAACATTTAAAAAAAATTTAAAAAAAAAAAAAAAAGATATGTTTGATAGTTGGAGTTTTAAGGGGCCTGAGTTTTCCTAGCCTTAGTTCTAAAGCATTTGAGATCGAGAAGTGGGCAGATGGAGATCAAAACACCAGCTTTACTGCTGATAGAGCTACTGGAGAGTGAGCCATAAGAACATGGTAATGATATGCATCCCAATGCTTTACTTCCAGAATTAGGCAGCCAGGGCCAGGCAGGGCTGGAACTATGCTAAGCCTGGTTGAGGAGCAGAAGAGAGCCCAGGCTTTTTTTTTTTCTAAAGAGAAGAGAGAAGGAGGTTGGGCTCAGAAAGTCCTATTCCTCCTCCCATACCTGCCAGTCAGCAAAGTGAGGAAAGAGTGTGTGGGAAGAAGCAGGGAGGCCAGGAGTTTTTACACACACATGTCTCTCCACATGGGAGGAGGCATCAAGAGTGGGGAAGGGATGTCTTCCCTGACAACATGTCGGCGTGTGGATGTCGGTATGTTTTTGAAGTGTGTGTTTGAGATTTGTAGTACGAAGTGGGCCTTGTGCGGCTAGGCTTTTGAGTACTAGCTTCTGAGTACTTGAGTACTTGCTCCTGAGTACTCGATTCTCCCTTTAATAGTTTTTTCTTCTGTCTTTATAGCTATCTGAAAAAACCCCTTTCCCTTAGTTTGTGTCTAATGTGTGCTTTTAGACTGGTTTTAAGTATGTGCCCACTTAGAAAATATTTCAGGATTTGAGTTAGGGATCTTTGTGGTGACTTAGCCCTCTTTGAGAAGCTCGGGTTTGAGGAAAGTTGCCTGGGGTCTTTGCCAGGGTGCGGGGCTCTGGCCAGAGACTGAGAGGCGTTCCCTCTTTCTCTCCAGCACAAGTACACGTCGATTGCAGAGGTACAGGCGCAGATGGAGGAGGAGTACCTTCGCTCTCCTCTCTCGGGGGTGAGTCTGAGGCCTTCTTCAGCCACTGGACTGCCAGCAGCTCCCAGGCACTGCTGGGCCCAGACTACAGAGCTGCTCCAGGCCCCGTCTTCAAAAAACTCCCAGTCTCGCTCCCACACCAGGGCTGGCGTATGTCTAGGGTGGGGGTCAAGAGCACAGTCACCTGCCTCTGACTCCCGGCTCCACCACTCAGTAGGTGGCAACTTAGGCAAGTTACCAAATCTCTCTGTGCTTTAGTTTCCTTGCCTGTAGAATGGGAATGATGATAGTCCCTCCTCCATAGAGCTGCAGTAAAGTTGAAGTGAGTTATTACAAGTATGGTGCCTGGCACGTGTAGCACGTGTATTCTTCAAGGTTTGCCATTTGTTACCGACATCATCATTTACATCAATACTTAACAGATTCTCCTCCAGCCAGCTAGCAAGCTGGCTCAGGAGAGCAGAGTCGGGACTGGGGTTTTGTATTTGTACCTGTTGTGTTACAAGGGAGAAGAGGAAGTGGAGCAGGTACCCGCGGAAACCCTTTACCAAGGCTTGCTTCCCAGCCTGCCCCAGTACATGGTGAGTGCTCCTGCTCTTGAGGTGTTGCCTCCTCTTCGTGAGTGCTTTGGGTCTGGGACCCCTCCGGTGCCCATCAGTACCTGCCATGGGACTGCCCTCCCCGCTACACTGGCCTTGAGAGGATGCCCTGCTGGTGTCAGCCCCTCCTGCCGCCCGCCCGAACACCTCCCAAAGGACCACTTCTCAGGCCTTCGGTCTGCTGCTCCCCAGATCGCGCTGCTGAAGATCCTGCTGGCTGCCGCCCCCACCTCGAAAGCCAAAACAGACTCAATCAACATCTTAGCAGACGTCCTGCCTGAGGAGATGCCGTGAGTAGTATTCCTGTGAATGGAGCAGGTTAGGGGCCGCCAAGTAGAGGAGCCAGGGGAAGCGGTTTCCTCTCGGTCCCACTCTTGCTCGGTTGTTTTCTTTTTTTTGGCTCAACTTCTCTGTAGGTTAAGTTTAGGGTGTTCCTGACTTAGAAGAAAGAAAATGTATCTATTGGATTAAATATTTGGTTTTACTGGTTGGGGAAGTGGCTTAGTGTGGTTGGCCTGGATTCTAGTGTAGACTTTGCCGCTGAGTGAACTAGGGAAAAGTCGTTTTCTCCTCTACAAAATGAATCAGGCTGTGTTTGACATTTCCTGAAACCTTCCCTCGAAAGCTGTCTGAGCAACACACCCAGGACCTGTAGGTTTAGCTTCTGGACAGTTTACCAGCCAGCAGCTGAACCTGAGCTGGGTGTAGGATTCTTTCCTATTGGCTGGCGATTTGGCATGTGGAGTATTTGCGGATATCTCTGGCTGATAGTGAAATCCTTAGGGGTTCTTTTTCCCTGAGGCACTGACCTCATCGCTTTGATGTAAGAGTACAAAACAAGATCATTTTCTGCTTTGAGAAGGACCTGGGCTTTGATCTGACCTCCTTCCTGCGTGCCAGCTCTGAGTCCGGCTCCCTGGGGGCTTGGGGGCTGGGCCCCTTGAGTCTGGCAGTGATAGCTGCGTGAGGGAGGAGGCAGGGATTGGCTACTACCAAAGGGAGTGTCCCAGAACACTAGGCCATCATGATGGTCCTTGGAAGAAGGGTCCCAGAGTCAAATATTAAATCTCCTCTTAGATTTACAGTGAGAAGTCCTGAATTAAGAAACCGATTTAACTCAGCGCTTCTTCCATTTATCTGACTCCAAAGCCCTTTTTTCTCCATAGCCTGAAACATCTCAGTGTGCTAGCGTTCCCCAGAATACACTTTGAGGAACGCAAGTTCATCTCATGGCAAAAGTGTAGGAAGATCTTGAAAGGAGAAGTTCATTTTGGGAGGAAAAGCAGGGCAATAGGCTAAGAACGTGTTTGAGGCCCCCCAGGAAGCAAATTGTGCTGAGCTGGATTGCTTGTTGAGGTGGGTGGGAGGAGCCCTGGCCCTGATAGCCGAGATGTCCACAGGGTGGGTGGTGAGGTGGAAGCCTTTGCCTGGGGAAGGCTCAGGAATCCCATCTCTCCTGCGAGTGCCCAAAGGGTAGCGCTGCCCATGCTGGTGGCTCACCCGGAAATTGTGTTTCCAGCACCACCGTGTTGCAGAGCATGAAGCTGGGGGTGGATGTGAACCGCCACAAAGAGGTCATTGTTAAGGCCATTTCTGCTGTCCTGCTGTTGCTGCTCAAGCATTTTAAGTTGAACCACATCTACCAGGTACCTGCGGGGCCTTCCTTTCTGTTCACTGGGCCAGGGCCTCAGGCAGCGCTGCTCCTCCAGCGAAGAAGAACGGAGGCCTTGCCCTTCAAACCCCCTTGAGCTCTGCATGAATGTTTTAAGATCCAGTCCTCCAACTAAGGCCTTTTATCACTGGAGGGAGGAGGGTGAGGTCCTAAAGGGCATGCTTATTTTTTTCTGTTGGTTTCAGTTTGAATACATGGCCCAGCACCTGGTGTTTGCCAATTGCATCCCTTTGATCCTAAAGTTCTTCAATCAAAACATCATGTCCTACATCACCGCCAAGAACAGGTGATAAGGATGAGGGATCAGGAAGGGGTAGGGATGGCCAGAGGCCCGGCTGGCCTCTCCTGAGCTCATTCAGCACCTACAAGCCAGCACTCTGCCAGACGTCAGGACACAAAGATGGACGAGTCATGGTCTCTGCTGTGGAGAATGCCAGTGTGTCAGGTCTGAGTCCAGCTAGTCTAGTGACAGGTGACTCAGTCTGTGCCTGGGTGGGAGGGTTCTCATCCTGGGCCCTCACTGTTGTGTGCTTCTTCGAGGACACTGGCCGGGCCTCCTGTTCTCTACGGAGCTCTGCCATGTTCACCATAAGGACCCATCTGCTGACTCTACCCCTGTCCCCATCGCCTGGTACCAGCTGTATTTGACGGTACACCGCAGAGTGAGCTGTGGGCCAGACGCCGTCTCCTTTAGGGGCTTGGCATACATTAATTGCCTAGAGAAATCTTCTGCCCCAGCCCCAGACTCATTGCTGTTGGGAAAGCAGTCTCTCTGAACCTTACAAGATGACAGGCTGATCTCTGGTCATAGAGGGACCGTATAAGTTCTCTTGAAACGGGGATGTCATCATCCTCTAGCTGGGGAAATGAGGGGAGTGCAGGCTAGGCGGTCCTGCTTCCACTCCCAACAAGTAAGGAGGAAGGCCGGGAGCCAGCCACGTCTCAGCTGTCTCTCCAGCCCCTAGCTTTGCTCACGGTGGTCGCCCGGCTTCTCTTTCTCCCTGCAGCATCTCTGTCCTGGATTACCCTCACTGCGTGGTACATGAGCTGCCGGAACTGACTGCTGAGAGTCTGGTGAGTCACGCTGTTCCTTTGGCGTGAGGGGGGTGTTGGAGGGCCTGCCTCCCCCGATACAGAGATAGAGGGGCTCACAGATGAGGTCACCCGTTGGGTGCTGGCTTTTAAAGCACTGTAATTGCACAGAAGGGCCGGAGGAGGGACCTTGCAGAGTGGAAAGATTTGGATACAGGGAGTAGTTCATCAGGAGTGTGGTGTTCAGGGGCTGCCGGCCCAGAGCTCACCTGGTCGAGTGGTTTCCCTCTCCCACACTGGATGTCTGTGGGGCACAGCTCTGAGGGAGCCTGGGTGTGGGTGCCCCAGGTGTGGAGGCTGATGGCACAGCCCCCTCAAATCATGCTCCGTGTTTCCTGCAGAAAAATTCTAGGGGACTCCCTTATCCCTGCCAAGCTCTGGGATGGAAGTACCCTGGGCTGAGGAGAGGAGAGGGCTGCTGCTATAGACGAAGAGAGAGCTGGCAGCTCCAAGAGAGGTGTGAGGGCCTTGGAAACCACTGAGCACCCTGCAGCTGTGAGAGTTACAGGCATTCCTGGCTTTTCCCTGCAGGAAGCAGGTGACAATAACCAGTTTTGCTGGAGGAACCTCTTTTCTTGCATCAATCTGCTTCGGATCTTGAACAAGCTGACAAAATGGAAGCATTCGAGGACCATGGTGAGCTAGTACAGTCATCAGGCACGCAAATCGGAGCTCAAGGCAGAGGGCCACACTTCGTGCTGTCCCCTCCCAGGACGTCCGTGGAGCAGGCTTGCTGCTGCCCTATACCCTTCTCACTGGACTCTTCCTGTAGCCACATCCTTGCATGTTAATGGCTGATGCCTGGCCCCTTGCTGAGTTGAACTAGAAGCTAGAAGAGGCTCAGTCATGGCCTGAAACGAATCGACACTTAGAGAAGGGATTTTACTACATTCTCTTACTCTCCATCAGTAACACAACCAGGGTTCTAGGAGTTTCCCTTAACCTTGAGTCTGAGGACGCCTTTGGGGTAGGGAGGTCCATGAATCCTCGGAGATTTTACATACATGCACATAGGAACGTTCACAGTGAGAGACTTCACGGCTTTCCTCAGATTTCACAATGACCTGTGATTTGGGCAGTGGGGCGTCCATGCCCGGGAAGCCATCTCAGTCTGGGGAAAACTGGGATGGTTGGTTACCCTTAACCCTAGAAGGTGGTAGTGCAGGAGTTTTTCTCTGCCCTCAGCCTGGTCCTCGTGCCTCTTCCCAGATGCTAGTGGTGTTCAAGTCGGCACCCATCTTGAAGCGGGCCTTGAAGGTGAAACAGGCCATGATGCAGCTCTACGTGCTGAAGCTGCTCAAGGTGCAAACCAAGTATTTGGGACGGCAGTGGCGGAAGAGCAACATGAAGACCATGTCCGCCATCTACCAGAAGGTGCGGCATCGGCTGAATGACGACTGGGCGTACGGCAATGGTAAGACTCTGGCACAAGCTGGGCCGGGCCAGGGGGGTGGGGGGGGGGGGGGGGGGGGGGGGGGTTAGGGGTGACAGCTTTCCAGAACCCCGAAGAATCTAGTTCCTGCTTTTGTGGCCTCAGGATAGGAGCTCCAGGAAGGACTTTGAGAAGCTGCCTTGACTTGGTGCCTGTGATCATCCCCCAGTCCTCTCTTCCTCCCCCTGAACTAGTTCCTTTTCCAGAAACTCTCACAAGACGCTCTCCCATCTTTTCTCTCCTCACTACAACTGCCTTAGTTCTGGCCACTGAAATTCCCACAGAGCCTGATGGAAGGCTTCCTTGCCCCCAGTTTCTTCATCGGTGCCTCAAAGTGTGCCCCAGTGATCTTTTTAAAATTTTTTTTCTTTATTTTTGAGAGGCAGAGAGAGACAGAGCAAGAGTTGGGGAGGGGCAGAGAGAAACGGAGACACAGAATCCCAAGCAGGCTCCAGGCTCCGAGCTGTCAGCACAGAGCCCCATGCAGGGCCTGAACTCACAAACTGTGAGGTCATGCATGACCTGAGCTGAAGTCGGATGTTCAACTGACTGAGCCACCGAGGCGCCCCGCCCCAGTGATCTTTTTAAAAAGCATATCCTGTGGGGCTAACTCCCCGAGTGAAATCCTTTGTTAGCTTCTGATTTCCCTTAGAATTTGAGCCACACTCTTAAGGCATGTGAGGCTTGCCCAGCCTCCCTTCCCCTCCTTCATAATCTGATCCAGCTTCTCTCCAGCCCAGCCTCTGTCGCACACAGGGATCTTGGCACATTAACCACGTTGTCCCCCACTTTTCTTGCCCCTGGCAGGAAGCCTCCCTCATACGCCTCACTGTTCGGTATCTGTATGTGTCCCTCCCATCTGGGGGGCTCCCTCAGCCTCCAGGCAGAGTGGCTCCTCCCTGGCTTTCCTGAGTGTGCTGCCGCACCATACCATTCTAGCCCACAGCCCCATGTCCAGGTGACCACATCTGTACCCCGATGCCCTGAATTTGTGTAGACCCAGCGTGGCCCCCAGTCCCTGGTCAGGGAACTGAGGGAATGAGCAAATGAGGGAATCTGCAGTTTCCTGCCATTGATCTCAGAGAGCCAGGAGAGTATAACTTTCAGAGAAGTATGTCATTCCATGGCTCTCCCTGGCTGGGTCCCCCTAAACTGCAGTGTGGCCCCTTTCCCTGTAGATCTGGCTTTTCTCTTTTTACCTGAGTTTCCTTTGTGTCTAAGGAAAAAGCCCTGTCAGTCTTTCTGAGGATAGAGATTGGAGGTCTCTGGCTCCCAGTTGACAATCAACATTTCAGGCCAGGGCCAGCCTGGCCCCAAGCTCTAGTGAACCCAGGGGGAGCTGCCATGAGGGCTTGGCCCCTGAACGTGTCTTCCTGCTTTGTCTCAGATCTTGATGCACGGCCCTGGGACTTCCAGGCAGAGGAATGCGCCCTCCGTGCCAATATCGAACGCTTCAACGCCCGGCGGTATGACCGAGCCCATAGCAACCCGGACTTCCTACCTGTGGACAACTGCCTGCAGAGTGTCCTGGGCCAGCGGGTGGACCTCCCTGAGGACTTCCAGATGAACTACGACCTCTGGTTAGAAAGGGAGGTCTTCTCCAAGCCCATTTCCTGGGAGGAGCTGCTGCAGTGAGGCTCCTGGGCAGGGGACTGACTTCAAAGGAAAGAAGGGGTGATCTGGAGGGGCCCCAGGGGCTGTCCCAGTTCATTGCCGCAGTGCTCCCACCTCCCTCCAGGTGGCAGCACAGCCCCACTGTGCCCTCCCTAGGCCCCGCTGGGCTTGTGGGTGAGTCAGATTTGGCCCTTCATTCATTCCCAGCGTCCTGCTCAGAGCAGCGAGCTCTCTGCGTGGGATCCTATCTTCTTCACTCATCCCCACCCTCTTCTCTTGGACGTGGTCGGTTGCGGCTCATTTCTCAGTCAGCCCAAGGCTGGGAAAAGCCTAGATAGGCTGGGAAGCCATTGCATCTGAGTTGCAGGGGCCACACTGAGGCTCTTCCTGAGACACACACATCCTTGGAGTCTCAGCCGGCCGAGGAGGAGGGCTTAGCATTAGGCCAGGGTCAGAAAGTCGGAATTTTGGTTTTGCTTTGGGGGGTTTCTGATGTCACTCCAGCCTCCTGCTTTCGTCCCAAGGCAATTGCAGAGGCTCCTACAGCTGCCTCAGTACTTTGGTTTTGGACAGGGTTGGGGGGTAGGAACGGAAGCTGTCCTTAATCAGAGGTGCCGTTTTTCCTCTTGGCTTGCAGGGGTCTGTAAATACCTATATATAAATCTCTGTGTATTCTCTTGTGTCACGTTGGGGTTTTTAACGTGTTTGTGTATTCTGTTTACATTAAAAGGAAGCAAAAATGACCCCCATTGCCTTGTCTGCAGGAAATACGGTCCCTGAGTATCTATGAGTCTAGAAAATGGGTTTTCCTGCCAGCATTGATAGGTCACCCACTTGTTCCCTGCCAGGCTGCCTGCCTTTGCCACCTGAGGGGGAGGTACTGGGGGAGTTGGCATTTATCCAGAGTCAATCTAGGATTGTTCCAGCCCAGCTCAGGGCTCTGGGCTGCTGAGGTGATAAGTTGTCCTGTACCCCTGTGTTTGATAGAGTTGCAGTAGGAGCCCCAGGCATCTCCGGATCGCTCTCCTGAGGGGGCCTCAGCCAAACCAGTTTCAGTGCTAGGGAGGAGGAGGGGCTAGGTCGGCTGCTCTGGGCCCTCGCAAGGGTAGGTGGTTGGGACTGAGAGGAAACTTCTTTGCCCAGAGCCTAGGGAAGCAGACCATCTGGAGTCAGCCTCACAGTGGGAAGGAGTGTGTCCGAGGGTCCAGGAGCCCACCTCGCTGGGGGAAGAGGCAAGGACGATCTCCGGGAGGTGTCGGTTTGCAGACCCTGGAGCCTGCACCTGGCCTTGCGATCCTGGGCACGTCTGCTTCCACCTAGTTTGATCTTGAGGCTTTGTTTCTGATGCTTATGAAAGTACTGTTTCCTTTCCAGAGTGACTTAAAAGGTCCCTTGTCTTACCTTTAGGCCATGTGTACGGGATCTTAAGTCTCTTGACTTATGTAGGAAATGTACTCTGGGGAAAATCTCCCTCCCGTGGGTTCTTCTGTTCAGTGCCTGCTTGGCTTGGGTTTTGACTGAGCCTCAGTGCAGGCCCCAAGCTGGGCTTCCAAGAGAAGCCTGATGTGCCAGCGTGGTTAGGAGCAGCAGAGGGGAAGCGAGCACTGTATTTTTTCTGTAAGTCACACAGCCTCTGAGGTAGGAATTCCCTGTGACTGATCGACTTTTTGCCCCTAAGCAACTTGCACAGGACAAGGGAGTTTGACACAATTCGTGTGTGCATGATGCATTTTGTGCTGTTTCATGCCAGGACCAATAGGAAGTATGCATCGTGAGATTTTAGTTTGGGTAAGATAGATTTTCACATTCATACTCCACCAGGTAGCCTGGTTCACTGAGCCAGCTTGTCTGACAGCTTTGCTTCCTTCCCCTTTTTTGATTTCCCCATTCTCCTCTGAAGCTTCCCTTAACCAGAGTTGCCATTTTTTCCTCTTGCGTTGCAAAGGTCTATAAATGTCTATATAAAAATTTGTGCAAAAAGAACACGGGATATCAAAGCTGCAAGGTCCATAAAACCCAGGTGCGTGGGAGGATCCACACATCTGTAGGCCCAGGGCCTGGCCTAGGAGAGTAAGAGCCTTATCACAGCTGCAGAATGTGCTAGTGGTAGATTGGCCTTTCAAATCCAAGCTTTTGTACAGCAATGTCTTTGGGAGCAAGTGGCCACCCACAATCTCTGGCTTCGTTTCTCATATGGGTCCTGAGACGGGCAAGGTATGTGAAGACCCTTTGTAAATGGTTGAGTTATATAAAATGTTGATTATTGCCAACCAGGCTCAAGGTCCAGTGCTCCTTCAATCCACTGAGGGATGAGTTACCCCGTGGCTTTATCACCTGAGGGAACTGTCCCCTGTTAATCAAGAGTTACCACTTACTGAGGGCCAGTTAGGTACCAGGCCCAATATTGATGCTTCTTGAAAGTTCATTTTCCACACAGGAGCTAGCAAATGTTTAGTGCTTACTATGTGCCGGTCACTACTCTGAGCACTTTATATGTAATAGCTTCTTGCTTATAATAACCCTGAAAAGTAGTACCATTATAGTGCTTATTTTGCACATGAGAAACTGGCACAGAAAGGATAAAGAACTTGCCCAAGGTCACAAAATAACGAGAGCCAGAGCCTGGATGCCAACCCAGGGCTCTGTTTGCAAAGCGTGTATGCCCCGTTCCCCACCCCTTCCACCGTGCCCTTTCTCTAATGAATCATTTTTATTCCCAAGCACCTACCACCAGTGCATTCATTTGCTCTTTTAGTCACTTTAGTCGGTACTTAGTATTTGCTCAAATACAGTCCTTGGCAAGAAGATTCTGGGCAAACATCAGCAAGGCCTTGGCCCGGCCTCTGGTATGTCCCACATGTGCCCCCGTCAAGGTAATTTGGGGGCTGTCACTGCTACTTTCCTTTTCAGCCTGAACTTAAATGTCTTTCTCTCCTGGGCCCCAGAGGACTCGTGTGGCTGCCCCACCAGACCCGCTAGGCTTCTCTCCCAGGAGGCCGGCTTCCCGTCTGTCCCCTACTGAACTGCCTGCTCGGGGATGCAGTAGCTGTGCCATTCATTTGGCACTTGGCACTGCCAGCGTCAGGCTGCAGGCTCTCCCATTTACACACTAAAGGGCCTTGAGCTCCTCCAGCTCCAAGCCTCAGTTGGCTTATCTATAAAAATCAGTGTAAAAATAGCACGGTGGTCACGAATAAGACGACGGTAACAGAGACCTACATACCTGGCTGATGAGGAAGAGCACTGCTAACTAACGGCAGCTATTAGTCCTGCTAATGGCCCTTCCCCCTCCAGCCGATGAGAATTTGCATCCATTTCCCGAGGCCCCTGGAAAGGAGACCCCCCTTCGAGGACCAGAACCATGTCTTAGGCCTCCTTATATCCCTCATCCTGAGCTCACTGCTCTAGATAGAGGCGGCTTTCAAAATCAGCCACTCACCTAGCAATTCTGCCGTCATCCTTTGAAGGCCTCTTCTGGACCAGGCCCCGTTCCCGGTGCCCTGGGCATTCAGCTAAACAGAGTCCCACACTCTCACTTTCCTTGACAAGCTCTCAGTCGATGGACAGATGGCTACAACAGCAAGTGAGAGCAGTAATGTGGTCGGCACCGAGGAGAACGTCTGCAGGGCCACATGGGTCCCCCTGGTCCCAGCCGGTGCCCTCCTGGAGAAGAGCCTGGGTGGGATGCCTGCCATTGTCGATGGGGAAGGGAGGGGGCTCGGGCATCTGGGCTCTGAGAGCAGGTACTTTATGCTCATTGCCCCTGCTGAAATGGCTGGGATGAGCCTGGGGCGGGAGGGAGGTATGTGCTCCCTCTGCCTGAGACAGGAAATGCCCAGTTCTGGCAATGCTGGGCTCTGTTCCTGTCTGGGGCTGCAGAAGGTCTGCACTTCAGGGTTGTAATTCAGGTTGATGTGTAAATGCTTGGGGGGAGGTGGGGAAGGAAGATTGAATGCCTCTAATGAGAAGCATTTCCCCATGCCGCCCTGAGACCAGAAACCTGGACTGAAGGGCCTGCTAGCAGCTAGGGCTCTCCACTCTGGGCCTGGGGTCTGTGCCCTGGCCGGGATGAAGATTTAGGGCTTCTCTGGGTGGGCCTCACTGGGGCAGAGGAGCCCTAGCAAAGGGACACTGAGCCTAGCATCTCTTAAATTTGGGATTGCAGGTGGGGCCACTAACCATTTCCTTTTCCAGAAGGGGTGAGCATCCCCCCAACCTGGCTTTGGGGAAACCTGGGACCTAGGCTGAGGGCTGAGGTCACCTTTGGAGTGAGGCTGGGGGCAGGGGCGCCTGAAGACCTGGGCACTGTGTCTTAGGGGTGAGACGCCTAGGGTGTGGAGGAGGAGGGGAGGATGGGAGGACGGGAGGACGGCTAATGGGAAGCAGGTGGAAGGGCTGCCTGTGTCCCAGCCAGGGGACAGGCCGGCTGGGATGGCCCAGTCAGTGGGAGAAACCATCAGCTCACAGATAATCCCAGGGAACAGGCTCCGGGATGCCCATTCATATTCATTATGTGTGAAGTGGGCGGTTGTAAAGTTCGCTTTCTCTTCATTTAGCTGTCACTGGACAGAAAAATATGAGCTGTGGGCAGATGCCCCTGGATGAGAGCCAGTAGCTGGTCTCTGGCCTCCCTGTGCCCTCCCCCACCAGGGCCTCCCTCCCTCACGGTTCGCTTCCAGCCTCTGCCTGCCTCTCCCACTCTTGCTGCATGGATCTCTGGCTTGGCTTTACTGTCTTCTCTAGTCTGTCTCTTTCCCACTTCTGCTTCCTTTGCTTTCATAGATCCTTTCCTCTCTCCCCCACCCCCCACCGCCCCCAAGCTGTGTGAGAGAGGGAATTGTGTTTTTCTTGACCGTCATTCTGTCCTTGACACCCAGCACGATGCCTGGCACAGAGTGGGCCTTCAATAAATATCTGTAGCACAAACTAGTCTTTCTGCATCTCTGACTTTTTGACAACAGAACTCGAAATCTTGCTGGTCGCTCCTTGGGTGAAGAAACTTCTAGTGCAGGGCTCTTAGCCCTGAGTTAGAAATTTGGATTTGAGCCCCAGTTCACTATTGGCCAGCAGTACGAAGGGGGTTGTGTTCATCCGAGGTGCCGGGGCTGCCTCTCCCTACTGCTCGGGCTCTCAGGGCTCACACCTGGACCTCAGAGCCAGTGTCAGTACAGAGAGAAATCACCAGAAGCCAGGCCCTCAAGGGAGGGGAAGGAAGACTGGTTTCTTCTGGGCGATGCTTGAGCCTAGTCACAATGACAGTCTTGGCAGGAAAATCTGACCTGCTGGGGGACGTGCTCCCTCTTTGGGAATAAGCACAGCCCTGGTGTCTTTGTGTGCTTGGGCTTCTCTGTGCCTGGAAGAGGAGGCACGGGGCGGGGTGGCTGGGCTGCTGGCTGAGGCTGAGCTCCTCTGAGCAATGTGGTTGTGTTTACTGGGAGGGTGGGAGGCCAGGCCTGCTTTTTTCCTGCTTTCCCGGCTGTGGAGATAAGGCAGAAAGTGGGGGTGAAGGATAGAATGGCTAATACTCTGAAACCACAAGAAAGAGTCCTGGCTTTCGTCTCTGCCCCACAGCTCAGACTCGCTCCTGGGGCATCTGGGAGCAAGAGGCTGCCCCACCCCCATTGCTCTGGGGTTCTGGCCCAGGGGAGCTCAGAGCTCTCAGTGGGCCCCCATCTTTCATTCCACCTCCCTTCCGCTGCCAGTTCAGCCACAAGCTTATCTCCACTTTCCCACTGGCCTTCCGACCCTCAGGCCCCGATTGCCCCCTTTCCCTTTTGACTCTAGAGTGGGGCTCTTCCTACCACCCGCACGCACTAGCTGAAGCCACAGAGGTCCTGGGTAGGTGACGGGGCCAGGCATGGCATTATCAGCCTTGGGGGCTGTGCTGCAGCCTACCTTCCCCTAGCCCCCAGGATCCCTGCTGGCCCCTCAGGAGGGCCTGGCTGAGCCTGAACCCTGGGCACCGACCAGCTCTAGTGTGACCGAGTGCCAAACCCTGAGGATGCACAATCGCCTGGTCTAGGAAACACTTGCCATCTTTATTATCATGTTGGGCAGCACGCCTTTTTTTTTTTTTTTTTTTTTTTTTTTTTTAACCAAAGTCTGGGTTGAGATCTCAAGGGCTTCAAATCTGTGGAAATCTGTTTTATTCTTACCAACATCCAATGCGTAAACCAAGGAAGCCTGCTCTGGCCTGATTCCATAGAAGAGAATCCAAATTTCCATCCCCTTGGAGGGGAAGAGGACTCCATGGCATGTTGGGGGAGGGGCACAGGGCCAGAGCAAGGGATGAGGGATGGCTAGAGCAGAGGCTGCGGGCACCGTTTACACCGACTGGACTGCTGGCTTCTAGGCCCTCGTGAGCTCCAGACGCTGAGCGCTCGCCCCCTGGTGGCGGGAGGGGGAATTAAGGCTGGCCCTAGATGGTCATGCAAGACTGGTTTCCCCTAAGTCACAAAGAGCTTCTTCTGGTTCAACCAGCATCCTCCTCCTTTTATTTTACGGTGTTCCCTGAATGAGGAGCCAATTCAGCCATTTCAGCTGGAGGGATGACAGTTAAATTTGGACAACATCTGAAGGAAGCAGGGCAGTGTCTTCCTCCAGCCCAGAGTTGGATGAAGGGACCTAATGTGTAATAGGAAGAATCCTACCTGCTTTGAACCCCACTTTCTCCTGGGCAGCTCCACCTTATTCTAAGAAAAAAAAAAAAAAACAAAAAAACTCTAGCTTATTCCCTGCGGGAGGCTGAGGATCCCAGCTGCTCTGCCTGGGCCTCCGAGAACCATCTGGGGTTTGGAGGCAGAGGTGTGTCCTCTCTGACATCCAGGCTGGGGTGGGGTGGGAGCAGCTGGGAACAGAAAAGGGGATGGGCAGCTTAGTCTGTATGTCCATGCAACCAATCACGTGGTCCAGTTCAGTAGGCTGGGTGGCTCCTTGGATTTCACCCTGAGCGAGATGAGGCTTGGAGACTTATAGTCGCCATCTGGGGAAGACTCAAAGCTGTGGGCCCCCAGGGCAGGGGAAAAGCCGTGGATGGAGTAGATGCCAGGATGGGCTCCGGGGGAGGCCGGCACCCCCATGAAGCCGGCCACATTCCCATGAGTGTGGGAGTATGGAGACATGCACGGGGAGGGCATGCCCTCCGGAGACACGAGGCAGGGTCCCGCGGGGCTCCCAGACCCTGGACTGGGCCACAGGGAGTTCTGCAGCTGAAAAGAGAAGGAGGCCCATGAGTTAGTAACCCAGGGGCTGCCACCCTCACCTAAGGGTTCTGTCTTTGCTCCTGGGGCTCCAGAAACCTACCAGGAAACCTCCACTTGGCCCAGGTCTAGAATCTGCTCCCTCCTACCCCCAACACTCGAAATGGCATACTCAGGAGACCCCTGGCGCGGCTCCTCCAGATGAGGTTTTCTCCAGTGCTTCCTTCGTGCCAGCTGCTCTGCATGCCCCACTCACGAGACAGAAGAGCCCCATTTTGCAGAGCAGAAGTGCTTTACCCACGGTCACACAAAACCCTAATGCTGCTTCAGGTCTCCCTGGGGCCGGAGCTACCCCCATGGGACTTGGCCAGGCCCTGCCTCAGGGGAAGAGGGGTCTCACCGGGGGGTGGCTGTCTGCTCGGGGCAACACAGAGATGTCATAGGGAGACGGGAAGGGGTTCCGCCCCTCCTGGATCTTCCCGTATCGCTCTCGCTTCCGCCACTTCGCTCTGCGGTTCTGGAACCAGACCTGGGGGACAGAGGGGCGAGGCGGAGAGAGTGACAAAGCAGTCCCGAGGAACAGAGCCTGCTGGGGAGAGAGCTGAGGGTGTGTGTCCTCCTGCAGGGTGGGGCGCTGGCTCCTGCCTGGGGGATCTTGAGCTGCGGGAACTTCTAAATCCATGTTGTTCTCAGGGCCAGGAGAACCTGGAATGGAGCCTAGAACAGGCCCAAGTTCAGAGGGGGCTTACTGGTCCCTTGGGCCACCCCCCACCCCCACTCACCAGGCTGAGTCACTCTCTTGGTTCTCCAGCCGGGTTGTGTCACTCAGGGTGTTGTGGGATCTGTGTGGCCTCAGAGGCCCGGGCACTTCCGAGGTGTACCGGTGCCCAGGCTCTAGCCCCACCCTGCCTCTTCTCCTTTCTGTCTGCCCACCTCTCATCCTCAGCCCAGAGCCCGGCCCCTCTCCACAGCCACATCTCTGGCTGGGCAGTAACACTTGGTTCTTCCTAGTTGCCTCCCACCCCAGCTTGCCTTTGAGACAGTCTGCTACCTTGCTACTCCCCGTCTTCACTCGGGCTTCCCCTGCCGGGGCTGCCCATCCCCTCCCCCCGCCACTCTTCTGCCACAAACACACGCGTACATCTCCCCTGGACCTGCGTGGTGTGGTGCTCTGGCATCTCCCTCGTACTTACCACACCCTATTGCCATTATCCATTTTGTAATCTGCGTCTCCTGCTTATTTGCGAGCTCTTGGCGGGTCAGGGGAGCCTGTGTGCTGTGCACATCTGTGTACATATCTGTGACGAAGCTGCCGTT